CAACTGCCATGTGATTGGTTGATTAGATAATTGCATTAATGAGAAATTGAACAGGTGTTCCTAATAATCCTTTAGGTGAGTGTAAATGCCACTTTTAGAATGATAAAAAAATGTGGTTGGACAAAAAATGTGCAAAGGACACATTGTGCTTGAACTACAACAAACAAACAAAATATAAAGTGCGACACTCCTAAAAAAATGTGAGAAATATATATATTAACAACCACTTTAATAGCGACGTCATTCGCCTTTTACACAGAGTAGTGCAAATGCAGAAGTTCTTTTCAACGCTAGTGATAATGGAAGTGCGGATGCAGATCTTTTCTTTGGAAAAAATTTTTACATATTAGGGCAGATGCAGCCTCAGCAACTTCCCGCCAGGTAAAATCAAGGTCAAGGAAGTTTATTGTCATTCGCATCACATTTGCATGAGGTGGAACGAAATTGCGTACATGGTCCTGATTAACCCACTAGAACAAAGAACATAATAAACCGTAATGAATAATAAAGTAAATAAGAAAAAGTAAAAGAAGTAAAATTAAAGTAATAAAAAAGTGCACCAACTTAAATATCAGTATGGCAGAGATATAATATAATTGTAATTATAATTATAGTAGTAATTATAATTATAGCAGCAAGTGAAGGCTAGATAGCTAGCACTTGTAAAGTGACGGTATCAGTAAAGTGGCAGTAGTGATTCGTCCATAAAGTAAAGTGCTTGTCCATTATCTGTTCAAAAGTCTTACAGCTACCGGAATGAAGCTGTTTCTCAGTCTGGTGGTTTTACACTTAATGCTCCTCAACCTCCTGCCTGAGGGGAGTGGGACAAAAAGTGTGTTTGCTGGGTGAGTGGGGTCCTTCATGATGCAGGTGACCCTCTTCCTGCATCTGGAGGTGTATACAGTATGTCCGTGATGGTGGGAAGGCTGACTCCGATGACTCTCTGTGCAGCCTTCACCACCCTCTGCAGAGCTTTCCTCTCTGCTGTAGTGCAGTTTCCGTACCACACGTTGATGCCGGAGCACAGAACTCTCTCCACCGCGCATCTATAAAAGGAGATGAGGACTGAGTTCCCCATACCTGCACGCCTCAGCCGCCTCAGGAACTAGTGCCTCTGATGTGTCTTCCTGACCAAACTGGAAGTATTGTTGTTCCAGGAGAGGTTGTTACTTAGGTGCATGCCCAAGTACCTGTAGCTGGGTACTACTTCCACTGCAGATCCTCCGACATGCAGTCCATGATTATCTCCTTCGTCTTCTTCCTATTTATGCAGAGATTGTTTTTCATGCACCAGTCCTCCAAGTGTTCCACCTCCTGCCTGTAGCCAGACTCATCATTGTTTGTGATGCATCCAACCACTCTCCAAAGTGACTCTCTTGTTGAATTCTGTGATCCTTGGCAGGGGCCCCTCAAATTTTCCCAGTGATTCTTCTGTCATACTCAACAACTTCCCGCCAGGGGGCCTTTGTGTTGTTTCTAAAGAGACTCTCTTGTGAAACTCTGTGATCCCCGCTAGGGGGCCTTCATATTTCCCCAGTGATTCTTTGGTCATACTCAGTGACTTTCCAACAGGGGGTACCTGGTGTAATTTTCTCAGTGACTCTCCTGTCATACTCAGCAACCCCTCGTCAGGGGGTCTTTGTGTCATTTCTCTCTTGTGATCCCCACCAGGGGGCCCTCATATTTCCCCAGTGATTCTTCTGTCAAACTCATCAACTTATCACCAGGGTGTTCTTGTGTTGTTTTTCAAGTTACTATGGGTGCTTTTCCACCGCACAAAGTACAGTACTTTCGGTACGGTACTTTCAGTACTTTCGCTTTTCCATTGATTTCCAATCGAGTACCAGTACCGAAAGTTCCAGTACCGAAAGTGCCAAACCAGCTGGGGTACTTCTTTGGTACTTCGGTACTTTAGGGTGGGACTTGCAAACGTATTTGCTGTTGATTGCTTATGCAAATAGCCTGCAGTTGAAAAACAAATTACAACTGCCATCTTTTAAAACACACAACAAAGTGCGAGAAATTAAATAAAAAGCAATAGAAACAAAAATATAAAAAACATAAAATGGAAGGATGGACAAACGAGGAAACACAGGCTTTAATCACCATATGGTCGAATGAACAGATCCAGCGAGATTTGGATGGCATGACTCGAAATAAAAAAGTATTTGCCGTAATAACAAGCCGCTTGGAAGAAATGGGGCACATGTGAATTACAGAACAATCACAAAAAGCTGGTTGACCGAGCTTCTAATAATGACTCAACAACACCAGTCTCAGCACGTCTTCTATATTTGAATTCAGCAAAATAACAGCTGTTAATACTGCGCCGCGCTTTGTGATGATGTCTGTCAGGGATCGTCACTGATGATGTCATTTGGCGCCAGTACCAGTTTTTACGCCAGTGGAAAACCGACACAAAAGAAGTGCTATACTTTTTGTACTTTATGGAAGTAAAGTACTGGTGCGGTGGAAAAGTGCCCTATGTTGTTGAACTCAGTTATCCTCGCCCTTGAGCTATTTCCCCAGTGATTCTTCTATTATACTCAGTAACTCTCTGTCACAGGACCCTTATGTCTTTTCTCAAGTGACTCTCATATTGGAATGGAATGACCCTTTATTGCTGTTGCAATACCATGTCACTAGTCACAAGTACCAGTGAAAAACTGGCCAACAACCCCACCATACATATACAAACATCACATTATAGGAGGTAGACAGGTCAGGAAGACGGGGGATATAGGAAGAACAGAGAAAACAGAATTACATGAGGAGAGAAGAGGTGAATAAAAAAACAGCCCCCAGACTGTACTCCAGTAGGCAGTATGTTGTAGGAACAGAAAAAAACACCTCAGCAACATAAGCACATAGTCACTACACGTTACAACATAAAAAGTCGTGACTTACAACAGGGGAGGGAATGGGGAAATGGAGGTAGTCCAGCATAGACAGACAGCTATCCGGTCCTGCTGCCTGGACACAGACCTGCCTGTTCACGCTGGGGGGTATGAAGCGGTGAAGGCGTTGGATTGGGGGAGGGTGTCCTTGGGATTGGGGGAGAGGAATGCAAGAAAGTCTCACTGCCTTGTTCTTCCGGGGGAGTTGTTGAATTCAGCAGCGGCCTTGGCCAAGGCCAGTGCTGATTAGGGGGGAGCCAAAAGCAGATAGATAGGGTTGTTTGGGTTGTCTGGCAAGAAGCTGTAATTTCGCAGCTCCTCTAATGTCTAATGTTGGTCTCCACCAATCCTTTGCAGAGCCGTGAGCTTCTCCGTGATGTTATCCAATCTGCGATCAATAGTCACAGTGATGTTATACAATTTGCGATCTATAGTCACAGTCTGAGTGCCAACAGCTCTGCCATCCCGGCCAGCCTAGTGGGGCTTTGAGCGACTGTCACCGTTTTCTTCAATTTTCGATAAACCAGGGCAATGCCTAATCCAATCAGCATAAGACCTGAAACCTTGGTTCCAAATAGGTAGATATCTTCGATGACCTCCACGGAAAGAGCTGCCAGACATACGACCCTCCACTTCTCCCGTCAGTCCATCGTGTAGCCAGCTGCGTACATTCCTGCAGGACAGTCAGGTTCCCCCGAACCTGTGCTTCTCTTCGAGAAGATGGTGTCAATTGCGTTGAGAGATCAGTTGATCAAATCCATGATTTTCTTAGTTTTGAAGAGCAGGGCTGAGAGAGTCTCTCAAGTATAAGACAGTAGACTGGACAAGACGAGAGGAGCAAAGCAGGGAAGATAAGGGGAGGGAGAGGGAGAGAAGTGGCCGCCTCCGCTGAAAGCCAACTCATTGACTCCTGCCAGGGGGCCCTTGTTTTGTTTCTCAAGTGACTCTCTTTTCAAATTCAGTGAACCCCACCTGTGAGGCCTTGGCTCGTTTCCCCAGTGATTGTTCTGTCATACTCAGCAACTCCCTGCTAGGGGGGCCTAACGTCTAGATGGTGATCATTGAGTATGACAGAAGAGTTATGACATGGGGGCCCCCAGTCAGGGAGTCACTAAATATGACAGGATAGTTACCAGAGAAATGACAAGAAGGCCCCCTGGCAGAGAAATATTGAGTACCACAGGAGAGGCACTGGGGAAATGACTCAGCACATATCTTTAGAGTAGTGGCATGGAGAGACGCTTCTGGGACTCTTCTGCACTGCGCCGCAGCGCTTCTGGTGAAATCACCAGCATTGGCTAGTGTAGAGGCAATCAGCCGCATTGACCACATCTCAAGTGGAAAGCACTGCAACTGTTCTTGATGGAATTCTGGGGTCACTGACAAGCTGGCACAAGGGGCCCCTGGTGGGGAGTCACTGAGTATGACAGCAGAGTCATTGGGGAAATGACACAAGTGACTCCACATTTTGATTTCACTACAGATCCACTGGAGAAAAACCGAGATGAACAGTCAGGTTGTTGGGCTGCGTGACTCCAAGCTGCAGCTGCTGTCCCAGCTGCGCATTCAGATGCAGCAGCTGCAGGTAGTGCAGGTACAGCTGCCTCCAGCCCTCTGTATTGCCCCTCCCACTATCCTGGGCCCACTGCCTGAGGAGACCCCCAAGCAAAAGCTGCAGCCCAGCCCAGCCACACTGCTGCGCCTGCAGAGCCTGCATGCAAGGAGAGCTCCACCTGGTGGGGAGAGGGAGGAGCTTGGCCTACTTGAGCTGTTGGAGCATGCTGGTGGGGAGCAGGCAGAGCACGACAACATGCCCATCAGTGAATGCCCCCCTTGTCAGTCCATCCAGCTGGAAGGTCATGCCTTCACAGAGCTGGAGGAAGAGATAAGACGCGTGGAGGAGATTAAGCTGCTTCACCTGCAGGACAGCCTGCTGGCCCAGGTGTGTGTATGTGTGTGTGTGTGTGTGTGTGTGTGTGTGCGTATGTCTGTATCTGCATGGCCTGCAGGCCCAGTGTTGTTCTCCATAGTAAGGCCCTGCCCCCCCCTCCAGATGTCACAGGACATATCAGACTTTGACACCCGGCTGAAGCTCCTTCGTCATGGCAAGTTGAAGCTGGACGTGAAGCTGAAGTTGTGGGACCTGCAGCACATCACACTGTACCAAGAGCTACTACTGCTCAGGGATTTTGAGACAAGAGAAGACAGGCTGCAGGAGGCACTGCGCTGGCGTCAGGAGGAGTGGTGGCTGCTCACGGTGAGAGGGAGTCTGCGTGTGAGGATTTAGGGAGTGTCTGCATGCAGGACACATAGAGGGTGCAACACTTCCATCAACTGACATTGACATTTTTGGTGTGTCTGCGTCTGCATATGTGTCTGTGTGTGTGTCTGCATCTGCATGTGTGTCTGTGTGTGTGTCTGCGTCTGCATGTGTGTGTGTGCTCAGTCCAAGCTGGAGGAGACCAGACAGCAGCTGCAGGTTAAGCAGCAGGAAGTGGCCCATTTGCAGGAGCAGGAGAAGGTTCTCAATGCCACCTTTCAGGCTCTCTTGGGGCCAAACAACAAGTGGGGCCCCTTCCTCACCAAGGTCTTCAGGAAGAAGGTGAAGCGGGTGAAGAAGAGGGAGAAGACTGGGGAGATAGGTGAGCACAGGCTTTAGCTGGGCTGGGGGAGTATGGGAGAACAGTATGTGTGACCTATGCGCCTCCCAGAGGAGCAGGGGGACAGTGCTGAAGAGTCGGAGGGAGAGTCGGACTGGGATGAGGATGAAGACTCTGAGAGTGGCAGTGTAGATGATACCACGTGCCCCCCCAGTGAGTCCTGACACCATCTGTCTGTCTC